AAAACTACAAAACGCGGCAAGTGTTAAAGTAGCCCAATTCCGCGGGAAAACCGCGGAATTGGCAACAGTGAGCGTGACTGATACTCGCCCATGAATTATATTAGTGATCGTTAAGAAAATACATCTTTTATATTTATTCAGAGGGGGTGTACTCATTTATGTTGTGCACTGTGTATATATATATATATATATATATATATATATAAATTGAGGACAGCAGCTCTCTAGGCTGACTCATCTCTGTTATCATTGGATCGCACCGAGAATGTGGTGTGAAGAATAAAACTGCTTAATCCCAATACCAGTGAGATGAAGCATGAAGAGACTGCGCTCTCTGGACTAGCAGTCAGACGCATGAGAACAGGGACAATCCTTGTGAATAAAGAGGAAAACCGAACATCCTGAATGGAAAGTGATCTCGCAAAACAGGAAATGGTGTTCTGGAGAATTTTAGGATGACCCAGATGTGCCATTTTAGTGGTGTCTTTATGTAAACAATTTTTTATAGTCTTATACAAACGTTTTGTTGATTGAAGATGATCTTTAGTTAAACAAATGTCATCTATTTGGAAGTTAAATTCCAAAGACAATGCGTAGTATCATATAATGCTATATATATATAATGTTATCCACCTTATTTTTCAATTCGAAAGAAAGCTATTTTCTGTGAATGTGCAAGACTTCTGATTCATTTGCTGCTATAGATAAATAAATATAGAAAACAAAGTGCAGTAAAAGGTATGGTTTGTGGGCTACAAACCAGTGTGTTGTTCGAAACCTGTTTGAGTTTCTTTATTCTGTTGAACACAGAAGATATTTTGAAGATTGTTGGTAACCAAAGGGTTGCTGGTCGCCATTGGCTTCCATAGTATGGAAAAAAAAATACTATAGAAGTTAATAGCTACCAGCAACTGTTTGGTTACCAACATTCTTCAAAAAAAAAAAAAAAGAGAATAACATGTTTTTTACAGATAAGCCCAAGTACATTAAAGTTAGAAATGGTCATGCCCGCTCTTACTTAAATAAGTCGAATATGTTTTTTTCTCAATTCTGTGTTTCTTAGACACATGATCCAGATGGATGCTCTCTTGAACCAGTCTCTGATCACATGACCCTCTGAGCCACACCTGTGCCACTGAGCCCCTTGAACTCTGACACTTAGGACATCTGGCCGAGGCTTGGCTTTGCTGTCCGTAGTAAAGCTCTTCTATAGGGATGTATGAGTGCTGAAGGTGTGAGGGAGTTGTACTTCATCAACGCTGTCATGAATTCACACACTACTGTGTGATTTAATACAAAAACTTGAAACAGAAGATGATACCCTCCCCTCATTCCCTGCATTATTGGGCGCCCCTTGAACTCTGACACTTAGGACATCTGGCCGAGGCTTGGCTTTGCTGTCCAGAAATAAATCATCGCAGGGTCTTCAAAACTCAAATCCACTGGGTCTGGATTGTAGAGCACATATACAATATCTTCAAGTTATGTTTTGGTTACCTGGAAACAAGTCAAGTCTGCAAATTGGAGCACAGAAAACTTTTGGGAATGGGGATATCTGTGACGGCTATTAATAGCTATTTTTCTTATATAGGGAAAAGGGTTATGACGAGCAGGTCAGCTCAGGGCTATAATACCCCTGGAGATGCTCTGTTGTAAATGTTCCCTGTTTTTTCTTTTAACATATTAAGTTTGATATCTAATTGTTAAGCTGTAACAGCCATTATGCAGGTTTGAGACCTCAATATCTAACGTTTCATTTTTCTCCCTTTTGATTTTTTTTAAACTACTGGTATGTATGCTTTCTCTCCTAATACTCTATTTATTAAAGTCTTTAATTACCAAGATGGATAAATATTGCGTTTTTATATTCTGTTGGCTGTTTTGGCTTTTTGTGACTACAGTATGCATTGTTTCTGAAGTACAGCATTGATGATGCCTTAAATGATTACAGTCTGAAACCCCTGTCGAGTCAGTCCTTCTTTTATTGTATTTTATTTTCGTGTCTCTTGCATATTATTTGTGCCCAACAAGTTACAATATGTTTTGGACACGTTTCCACCACTGCTTCAATAGAAACTTAAAATGTTAATAGTCCATTCAGCACTGTATTGCAGATATTACTTTTGGCTTTTATCACTGTAAGCACATAAAATGCCAAAATTGGTTATCATTGACATTTTTGAGACATTTAAACCAAAACAACTAAATAAAGAACTCGAAATGAATGCATGCAATACCTCACAATAGGCTTTTGATAATGACCTTTTAAGTTGCCTGGAAATCAGCCATTTATCAGTTCCCAACAATCTGTCTTATTGTAGTGGAAACCCAATGTTTGAAATAGATGTTTTGTTATACACATCTGACTGATATTCAGGATTTTGTTGCAGTTTATCGTAATGGAGAGGACAAAGAAATAGGAACATGTGCATTCTTAAAAGTATTTAAAATAGTATTTAAATACAAAAAATACAACGCCTTCAAGTAATTGAACACAAGTTGAACCTGCAAGCTTCATCCTTATGCTGCTTGTCTGTAAGGCCTGTGGTTTAGGAGATAGGCAATAATGTAATGGCTACTATAACAGCTGCAACATTCTGTGTGGAGATTGGAAACCTGCTGGAAGGATGACCATCTGCAGCACTTGATCAGATAGCTGTGGCTGAGTGACTTGACAGAAACCACTTCTGAGTCCAAAGGCTTGTGATCATAAATGTGGCTTCTGGAGTCTCTAAATGTTCATGCGTTACCCAGCCAGAGTTCACTATCCAGCCTACTACTGATTTAGAGAATATATTTAAAAAAAATACTTTTGGGGTCCAGATTCAAGTGTGCAAAGCAAAATTATGAGCATTTGAAACGGCAATTACCTGCTAAAGAAAGATTTTCACGCTTTTTGCCTCTCAACCTCCAATCTTACATCTTTATGTTTTTACTGAAATGATTTTAACATATTTATACATTTTAATAATCATTTTATTAATAATGATAATATATTCTTTTAAATCATCCTGCCACCCGCTTGTAAATTTTCTGAGGGCCCCTGGTTGAGAACCACTTAATTGTGTAAAGGGTGCTGAATAGGTTTTAATAATTACTGGGTCACTGGAGTTATGCAGTACCGTTTGAGCTTTTATATGCCTGTGTTTATGGACATATTTCTATGAAACATTATATTTAAAGTGAACATATTTACAACTCTCCCCATGTTCACCTACAGTAATTGTGATATTTTGATAATAGAAAATGATTTTAATATTTTTAAAAAGTGCAATGTTTATTGTAATATATAAAGATGTGTGAAGGGGAGCTGAAAATGTTCTACATAACAGGAATGGGTCATGTAGATTTAAAGATTACATTTTTTATTTTTTTCCAAATACTTTGTTTTAAAAAAATAAGAAGAGGAAAGAAAGAAAAAATCCACCTTTTTCTGTATTCTGTTAAAATCACACACGATTCTAGTAGTTCCATTAAAAGCCATTAGGACTTTTATTTTGAATGATGGCGTGTTAAGAGACCCTTCATGTTTACATTTGTCTGTTTCTTTTTTCATTTTTGTTCACTTCTGTTTTCTGTTACATTTGGTAAAGCCTGCCATACTGATACAATGAAAACTGTATTCGTAACTGTCGGAACGACAAGTTTTGATGATCTGATTGGCGCTGTGACTTCAGATGAATCCGTGAAGGTAAGAATGTCATTCATACATAGTGAGAAGAAGTGCTAAGGAAACGTAAGCTGATTGTCACAAATACTTGTCGGTAAACGAGAGCTAGATTTATAAGGTTTGGTTTTAAATATGACGGTTTTAAATATCTCCGGGCTCACTTTAATGGCTGTTTCCATGTTTCTGAATGAAGGCATTCATTGACCGTGGCTACACAGACATGGTGCTTCAGGTTGGCAGAGGTTCAGTTGTGCCTGATCCAGACAGCTGTCCAGGACTGACACTTAAAGTGTTTCATTTCAAAGACTCAATCGCCGAGGACATGAGACACTCAGATCTGGTCATCAGTCATGCTGGTGTGTTGAAGCTCACTTTGCCCCAAACACTAAATACAGTACAGTTCAAACATAAATTAATTTGATTCTTTTTGATGCAGGCAAATTAAGGAAACTTTTTATAATAATCATCTGATAAAAGATAAATAGTTCATATATTTGACGAATATAAATGTCAAACAATCAAATTTCATGTTTCTACTTTAAAATGTGTGATATCTGCAATACTTGTGTCTGTTAAAAAATATGTATTATATAATAAAGGGGTTTTCAAACTAATGGCTGCAAGGTAGTGCTAGGGGTCAGGGGAAATGTTTAGAGGAAATTAAATTAAAAAAAATATGAAACATTGAATTAAACAGAAATATATTTTAACATATTTTTTTCAAATAAACAATACATCTAATAGTACTGTACTATCATCGGTGGGGGGAAAACTAATCTGCTTATAATTAATCTAGTTTGTCTGGGAAAAACTAAACCCCTGATCTGATATAATATAGTTTGTTGTTGATTTTGTAATAACCTACATAACACAACATTTGTTAAAGTTGAACTCGGATTAGAAATGAGTTTTAGATCATAATATCTGCTCTATCCCCATTAGGAGCAGGAAGCTGTTTGGAAGCACTCGGAGCAAATAAAGCTCTCCTCGTGGTGGTCAATGATAAATTAATGGACAATCACCAGCTGGAGCTCGCAAAGCAGCTGCAGGCAGATTCACATCTTATCTACTGCACTTACAGGTTCACTTTCTCAACTGTTTTAGTGCTCAAGATTATTGTTATGGTTAAATTGCTGTGCTGTCTGGAAATGTACATCTTCATGTGTTTTTCACCCTTCATCACAGTACTCTGCCACAGACTTTGAGGGATATGGATCTGTCTGCTTTGACTACCTATGTGCCTGGTCAACTGCGGAACTTCGCCAACTTTTTAGATAAGGCCGTTGGACTTGTTTGAGAGCTCTCTCTTGAACCGGGATGATTACTGATGAGAATTTGGGCAGAGGCTGAACCTGTTTTAATGAGAAATCCTGCACTGGACCCTCAGGAGATGATTGTTTGAAAACAACTGGTTTTTGCCAAACTAATAATTGACCTTAGATGATATATGCACTGGAGGAGTGTATAATGATAGTACAGACACAAGTGGTGCAGCTGTATTATGCAGTGCTGTCTTTTTTGGCACATTATTTGTGTCACAGTCACTTGTTAATATTAAAAAAGCTGTTATTAAAACTTATTATTATTATTATTATTACTATGCATTTCCAATTACAGTAATTGCTAATAAAAATTTAATTTTATACCTATTTTTCCTTATGACTTTGTTCTATAAAGTGACAATGAAACTTATCAGGTTGCTTATCTTATTTATTCTTAAAGGGGTCATACGATGCTATTTCAATTTTTCCTTTCTCTTTGGAGTGTTGCAAGCTCTTGGAGCATAAAGAAGATCTGTAAAGTTGCAAAGACTAAAGTCTCAAATCCAAAGAGATATTCTTTATATTGCTATGACAATCTGGCGCTTCTGAATCAGCGACTGTAAGTATGTTTTGTTACTAGTTAAATATTTGCTATTGACTGTTCAAATGCGGAGTTTTGCGCAGCGCAGAGTCACGCGACTCTGTTGCCCTTTCGGGCTTGAACTGATACATATTCTGTTACACCAAATACACAAAATAATGATCTTTAAAATAGCATCATATGACCCCTTTAAAGAAGCAGAAGTTGTGAAGGAAACACGCTGTGGTGAACATCCTGTGTAGTATTAGACCACAGTCATTTGTTACTCAGACGCTCAGAGAGCATGACTTACATTCACACATCAAGACTATATTTTGGGTTTTTGTTCTTAATTCTGTCCTTTCAACGATGCTGCTCAGCAGTTGATCTGAGTAAGTATATAATTACACACAACACCATACTGAATAATGTTTTTGTGGTTAATGGTGTTATAAATTAAAGGTAAGCAAATTTCAAGTTATAAATTATAAGATTGGGATTATAATTCTTACTGAAAATATTGATTGTATAAGTATTCTGATTGAATGTTTGCATTTAGTTTTGGTTTTCTAAGAGCAAAAAGTTTGAGAGATACATTTAGATGGTTTTAGTGGGGATTTCCACGGTTTTTCTCTTGTATGTCATTTGTGTCTATGGTAGTTGTGATGATGCTGCTGAGGTTTGAGATTCTGATACTGATTAGTTTTGTCTGTGGGTTGCAGGAAACAAGTTCAAAATAAAAAAAAAAAGTAATGTGAAAAAATGTATTAATGAGTTGTTACATGAATGAATTTGAATCATGTTTGCCCATGTAGGTGTACAGTGTAAGATCATCAACCTTGATTATGTGGAGTGCTTCTGGCACCCAAACACATCAACAATGAACTACACCTTCAGCAGTGCGTAAGTGACAGCCCATTTCACCCACCTCCCGTAAACCACAAATACAAGTATGTGTGTGTGTGTGTGTGTGTAATGAATATTGTTTTGTGGTAGTTGATAAATTAGAGATAATATAAGACAATAGTGTTTTTTGTTTTTTTTGTCAGATTTAAAAAGGATCTCTCACAGGACTGTCCAGAATACATAATGGAGCACAATTACACTGTAGGCTGCAGAATTCCTCTCAAAGACCCTGGTCACAAGTTTAGAAAATTTTATACAAATGTATCCACTGACGGAAACCACACTATTTCAAAAACCTTTGAATCCCTCCAGAGAAAAGGTAAGAAAACCAACAGATTTACAACGTTTCAATGGTCTGTCAAAAAATGCTTGTGAATCTACACTACCATTCAAAAACCAAACCTCCATTTTTTAGCAGTAGTGTAGTTTATTAATTTACAGAATTTCCCCACCCTTCCAATCGTTATATTTTTCATAATGACCAACAAACCGTAGGCTATGGCCATTATCCCAGGGAACAGATTTCAGCTGTGTCACCGTAGTTCTAGATGTCCTCTGTCACTCTTCTTGCATAATAAAATAATTTCATCTCAAATCAATATCTTACGTTCTTTTATTTAGTTATTTGGCAAGTTACCATTTAATATCTGACATAATTATATCCAAACCAGTGGCTCATTTGTTTGTGTTTGTACATGTATTTGTTTAGTGCAGCTAAACCCACCCTATAACCTCTCAGTGATGTGGAATGAGCAGGACAGCACACTTTTACTGCAGTGGAACAGTAGTTCCCCCCCCCAAAAAAAATGTGTCGTCTATATGGTGCGCAACCAGAAAGACACAAGCCAGGTGAGACTAGAGATATAATATTACCATTTTACATTCAAACTGACAACTGTCTCATCTTCATCTGTCTTTTGCTCCCAGTCCTCAAACGTGACAGGTACATCATACAGTCTGTCTCAGGTCTCACAGAACAAGCCCTATGTTTTCCAAGTGCGGAGCACTGTTGCTGACACCTGTGGTGATTCAGATCTCTGGAGTGACTGGAGTGATCCGGTGGAGTGGGGCAGTACCGGTGAGATACTACTATCACATAGTGAGGGACATGGATAGATTTGCTCTCATTTATCTTCTTACAGTTTTTTTTCCCCCCACCATGTTTCTGTTATGTAGGGAACATCAGCAGACAAGGCTGGTGGACGTGGTTGTATGGTATTGTGTCAGTCCTTCTGCTGTTTCTGCTGGGTTTCTTATTGTGTTACTGTGAGAGGTGAGAGATGTTTTAGACTTTTCACTCTTAAAATGATCTTTAAAAAGTCTTATATTTACCTCCAGAAGTCATGTGTAATAATAATTAAATTATTTATTTACATACAGGAAAAAGATCATCTTTCTTCCAGTCGTGCCTGACCCTAGCAAAAACCTACAGGATTTGTTTCATAAACATGATGGAAATGTTGAGGTATCTGCTCTTTTAACACTCCTACTGTATTCCTACGAGGTCATTATGAGTAAATGTGCTCTTCAGATTTGGATACGCTGTAACCCTCTCGTTTTATTCTCAGAGCTGGGTTCACATCTCCAGAGAGCTGAAGGAAGCTTTTGAGCCTGACTACACAGAGCCATCCTGTGACGTGTGTGAGCTTATGCCCTCTTGTGACGCCGGTCCTGCTTCTCAAACTGACAACTGTGATGAACCAAGCACTGAAAAAGAGCATGCAGATGAACCAAGCAATGAAAGAGAGCGTGCAGATGAACCAAGCACTGAAAAAGAGCGTGCAGATGAACCAAGCAATGAAGGAGAGCGTGCAGATGAACCAAGCACTGAAAAAGAGCATGCAGATGAACCAAGCACTGAAGGAGAGCGTGCAGATGAACCAAGCACTGAAAAAGAGCATGCAGATGAACCAAGCACTGAAAAAGAGCATGCAGATGAACCAAGCAATGAAAAAGAGCATGCAGATGAACCAAGCAATGAAAGAGAGCGTGCAGATGAACCAAGCACTGAAAAAGAGCGTGCAGATGAACCAAGCAATGAAGGAGAGCGTGCAGATGAACCAAGCACTGAAAAAGAGCATGCAGATGAACCAAGCAATGAAAAAGAGCATGCAGATGAACCAAGCACTGAAGGAGAGCTGGCACTAACCATTCACCTGCACTGTCAGCTCATTCTTACTGAACATTTTAATGTTTCCTTTTGCACATTTATTTTACCTCATTCATTTCTTATTGTAAGCAGAGTTTATGTATTTGTAGTAAATGTAATTGTTGACATTTCTCAATCAATATTACAGTGTGCCCAAAAGTTTAGGGTTGTTATGTTGACCAAGACTGCTTTTATTTGATCAAAATACAGTAGAAAATGGTAATATTGTAAAATATAATTACAATTTTTTAAAAAGTATTTTTTAATCTGAATACATTTATCAAATGTAATTTATTCCTGTGATGCCAAAGCTGAATTTTCAGCGTCATTACTCCAGTCTTCAGTGTCACATGAAATCATTCTAATATGCTGATTTGCTTCTCCAGAAAATGTCTTATTATTCTTATTAATCTCAAAAACTTAATATTTTTGTGGAAACCATGATACATTTTTTTTTTCAGGATCCTTTGATAAATAGAAAGTTCATTTATTGGAACAACATTTATAGGAAATAGAAATCTTCAGCCATTATAAATGTCTTTACTGTAAGTTTTGATCAATTGAATGTGTCCTTGCTGAATAAACATATTAAAAATATATATCTTACTGACCCCAAACATTTGAACAGTAGTGTAAGCCAACCTTAAAAATACATTAATGTCTTATTTAAAAAAATTCAAACCAATGGCATTTATTTTAAAGACAGCACTGAAAACAGAAGTTTCACTTTTTCCAATTTTGTTAGGTTTTTAATTATAAAACAATATATTTATTGTTTCAAATTAATACTACAAGTATTTGTTCAATTTATGACTTTGTGAACTTGAAGCAAACTAACTTTGTAAATCCACTAAGAATCACCTTGTGACCAGGTGCTTGAAAATAAGGACACTGAGTTACAAATTACAAAAAAAAACAAAAAGTTACAAATACATTAAAAATACACTTCAAAATGCTTGGCAGCTTTCATTTGTAGGGTGTGCACATAATGATTAATAAAACTGCTGTTTCATTTTGGTAACATGCTGAATGAATATGTAATAAAACTTTTGATTGTGCATATTATGCTATTGTTGTATTTTCTTGCCCTAGTTTAAATGTTTTTCCTCATCTTACTCTGATTCCCTGTCATTGTGACATCACAGTCTTGATGATTATGTTACTCTTTGTCTGTTGTGTCACTAATTTCTTACCCGGCTACAGCAGGCAGCATCTTAAAAACTGAACAGCAGTCAGCGAGGTGTCAAGTTCTCTTCTGCCGCAATGTTTATTTACATTAAAAATGGAGGTAATGATCTCAATCATGTCAATGATGAGAAAATTTATTAAATTGCTTAAATATCAATGCAATATGTGCATTCTATGTTTAGATCTATATATGGCTTGGTAACTGACAAAACATGCTTTGTGTGTACTTAAATTTCTCTATTTGATCTGTTTATGTAAATGACAAAAAGCTGATATTAATGTGATGTTTGTGTATTTAGATAATAACCAGTTTCTGGTTAACACCAACTGTCCAATTGTTGTCCTCATGAAGTACATAAAAACCAGGTTGGGACTTGCTGAGTCAGGTATGTACAGCTCTCTCGAGGGTATTTTTCATTCATCAGGATATGTGGATAATCAGAAGCACATAATCAGTCAAACTATATTTATAGTTAGTTTAC